AGACTCCCTTTCATCTGATTGGCTACTCACAGTATATTCAATCATGGGAGTGGTTACATTAAAACACGGAGAATCATGGCCCAGCCAAGTTGACATACAATCTTAACAATCACAATGTGTTCCAGAAATCTATGTTGGATAAAGCAGGTCAAGGAAGCAACACTCTTTCATCACCAAATCTGATCCCACACACACTGAAATCAAGTTCCAAGTCTCAACCTTCCCATTTGAAAGACCCTTCTCACTACAGATCTTCCTAGGTGTTTACTGTTCCTGCATGCACAGTCTTCTACAACCAGAAATAAGCATTTTTCTAGTTTTTCTTCTGTCATGTCTCCTGCTTCTTGGTTAAGAATAATGTTGCTCTTAATGATAAAGAACAATGATGAGTCCATGAAACATCTCACAACATAGAAGAATCTGGAAGGCATTATGCTGAGTGAAATTAGTCAGTTGCAAAAGGACAAATATTGTATAAGACCACTATTTTAAGAACTCAAGAAAAGGTTTAAAAACAGAAGAAAACATTCTTTGATGGTTACGAGGGAGGGAGAGGGGAATTCACTAACTAGATGGTAGAAAAGAATCATCTTAGGTGAAGGGAAGGACAACACACAATATAGGGGAAGTCAGCACAACTGAACTAACCCAAAAGCTAAGAAGTTTCCTGAACACAGCCAAACACTTTGAGGGACAGAGTAGCTGGGGCTGGTGGTTGGGGACCATGGTTTCAGGGAACATCTAGGTCAATTGGCATAACAAAGTTTATTAAGAAAATGTTCTGCATCCCACTTTGGTGAGTGGCGTTTGGGGTCTTAAAAGCTTGCGAGCAGCCATCTGAGATGCATCAATTAGTCTCAACCCACTTGAAGCAAAGGAGAATGAAGAACACCAAAGACACAAGGAAAATATTAGCCCAAGAGACAAAAGGGCCACATAAACGAGCAACTCCATTAGCTTGAGACCAGAAGAATTAGATGGTGCCTGACTACCACCAATGACTGCCCTGACAGAGAACACAACAGAGAGTCCCTGAAGGAGCAGAAGAAAAGTGTGGAGCAGAACTCGAATTCACGTAAAAAGAACAGATAATTGTCTGGGACTGGAGGAACACCCAAAGCCATGGCCCCTAGTTGCTCTGTTAACGCAGAACGAAAATCATTCCCGAAGCCCACTCTTCAAAGATTAGACTGGACTGTAGAATATAAAATAATAGTCATGAAGAGTGTGCTTCTTAGTTCAAGCAGATACATGACACCAAAAGGTGGCTCCTGTCCGTAGGCAGGCTGAGAAGGCAGGAAGGGACAAGAGCTGGTTGGATGGACATGGGAAACCTGAGGTGGAAAGGGGGAGCGTACTGTCACATTGTAGGGATTGTAACTAGTGTCATATAAAAACGTGTATAAATTTTTGTATGAGAAATTAACTTGAACTGTAAACTTTCACCTAAAGTACAATTAAAAAAAAAAAAGAATTAATGTTGCTCTTAAAGATGAGTTAAAACCCCAAAGTGCAGGCTAAAGTCATATACTCACACAACACACACACACACTTAGACAGAGAGAAAAGAGAAGAGACAAGTCTGAGTTAAAAAGAGCCTTCTTCAGATTCCCAGAATGAGTTCATGGAACTCAATCTGAGTGGTAAAGCATCCAGCTATGTACTACTTTGTATTTTGAAAGAAGGTGAATTCCAGAGAGCATGAGGCTTGGGTCTGGTGCTTGGAAAATGTTGAGTACGTGCATGTATCTGTTGGTACAAAGAGTGTGACTCTGTGAGAATTAATACAAATTCATTCGATCAACAAATATTGAATGAAAACCTACTATCTGTTAGATACTAGGAATTAAAAGGTGAATAAGATGTCTCCTGCCCTCATGGAGTTTAAATTCTAGTGGGGAAACAGACAGAAAGAAATATAGTCAGATCAATGATGGTGCTATGCACAGAGCATTATGGGACCACAGAGGAGGGGCAACTAGTCCTGCTTTGGCAAAGAGGTGTTGAGGAGGAGACAGTTGAAAGGCTTCCCAGAGGAGTGGCAATTGAGCTGATTTTTAAAGGATAATGACGAGTTATCCAGGTTAAGGTAAAAGATAGATATGGTAGAACCACAAACAGGCCTCTTTTGCTGGAGCATAACATTTCAGGCTGGGAGCGGGAGGAGATAAGGCTAGAGGGGATGGGCTATGAGACTGAGGTTTAGGCAGGGCCGGATCACAGGAGACCTTATGTGCCAGGCTAAGAGCTTGAGTCCATCAGCACTCTTTTACAGGATTTTAAGGTGGGAAGCAACATGGCCCAATATTTGTTCTAGATAGCTCACTCTGCTGCCTGTTGGAAAGATGTATTTGAGGAGTCAGGACTGGAGGCAAAGGGACCAGTTAGAAAGTTATTGCCATAATGTAGATGCGAGAAAATTAAGTCTGAGCCAGGGCAGTGGTAGGATATAGAGGAGGAAAGCGTTTTGAGAAATACAAGGGAGGTAGAATTATTGGCACTTGGTGATACTAGAATGTTTGGGTTGAGAACTATGGGGGACGGGTTAAAGATGACTCCAGGTTTCTAGCTTGGGTGACTGAGTGAATGGTGGTACCACCAACTGTGAGGGGACTACAGAAGGAGGAAAAGAGTCCTCCATACTTGGGCCCTGATCCACTTCCATGGTCACCAATTTACTCTAGCAATAAGTTATTAAGTGCCTACTCTGTGGTTAGACACTATGGGGAGAGAGAAAAGAAGGATCCCTATTGCAGAGGAATTTACAGTATAATTATGGAGACTGCAGAAATTAATCTCCTAGATTTTGCAAGGGAGTATATAATCAAACTGTGTAGTATATAAGTATATAATCAAATTGTGTAGTAAAGATTATGTATATTATAGGCATTAATTGGCTCATTAATTTATTCTTATTGAGTGCCCAGTATGAGCAGAGTACCATTTAAGAACCCTAACCTGTGTTAAAGCTATACGATAGGTAATATCACCATTTCACAGAGGAGAAAACTGAGTCCAGGTTAAATAGCTTCTACAAGGATCAATATATTCAATGGTTTATTAGATAAATCCACTTGAATGTCATATAAAAACAACCAAACCTGTTGCCGTTGAGTTGACTTGGACTCATAGCGACCCTATAGGACAGAGTAGAACTGCCCCATAGGGTTTCCAGGGACGGACTGGTGGATTTTAACTGCTGACCTTTTGGTTAGCAGCTGAGCTCTTAACCACTGTGCCACCAGGGCTCTGGAATGTCACCTAGGCATCTCAAATTCAGTATGTCTAAAATGGAAAACATTGTCAATCCCCCACAAACTAACTTCTCCTGTATTACCTAACTTGGTGACTATCTCAGCATGAAGAAATGGAGTCATACAGACTTAGGTTCAAATTCTGGCTCTGCCTCTTGCTAGCTGAATTCTTTTTTCTTTTCCTCCTTCCCTAATTATTTGAAATGACTGAGACCCAGTTCCATGAGTCC